GGGGGGGGGTACCACGGGGAGGGACAGGACGCCGACAGCGGAACAGTGCGTAATTGGGACGAAGGCCCCCCGGGCACGGAGGCCGCCGGAGGCCGCGGCGTTCGATGCGCTTCGTAGAAGTGGCGTCACTTTGTCACTGCAACCCTCCTCCTCTTCCTCCTCCTCGAAGGAGGTTGTCGGCGCGACCCGGGGGGTGGGAGGGTGGAGGGCGGCCTGCCAGTCCCCGTCACTGACTCACGGGGCTTACTGATTGCAAACTTACGCACTGTTTCTGTTCGCACGCCGCAGAAGAGGGGGAGCAGGGAGAAGGTGAGTGGCGGAGGAGCCCAGTGAGGAGTAGGGGTGACTCGTCGGGACGGCGTCGGGCCGATGTCGAGCCGACGTGCTTCTCGGCGTCGAGGAGGCGAGCGGTCGGCGCCGTACCGGCCAATCACTTCTGACTGGGAGAGCGCTTTGGAATGCTTTTTATGCTTTGTTTTCGTTGTGAGCGGCACCATTTAATTATTCTCTTCTTTGGCTTGGCTACTCTAATTTTTCCTAGCGTCGTTGGAATAACGGATATGGAATAAGTAAAACATATTGGGGCACGACGCATAAAAGAGAGACCAGAACTTTGAATATGTAAAACAAATCTTCAAATTATGAACAGCTCTGGTCATTGCCAACAAGCCATGTTCTATTTTTTTTAGAGTGTGTGTTTGTGTGAACACGTTTGCTAGTTTATTTTCTCTGCGCTTTTTGCACCGTGAGTGGCATGTTCGATGCACAAAGTCGGTGCCCTGCACTGTGCACCTTAAGGGTGGCATGGAGTGAACATGCTTAGCTTTCTCGGAGCTTCTTTTGTTTTTATTTTGGTTTCATTGTCTAACAACGGGTTGAGTTATGCACTTAATTTGCTGTTGTTGTTTTTGTTTTTTAATGTCAAACGCAGACCGTTAAAAGCTGCTGCTGCAAACGCTGCTGCTGCCGTGGGGGAATAAGGTCAAATCTCACCAAATAAATAAATAAAATAAATGTCTGTCATAAAAAGAATATAAACACACATCCCGCGAACGTTTGGGCGCTGACACAAACTAAACCGTTCTTTCACACTGTACTACGGAAGGATACCGACCGCATCTCTCAGTATCGTCAGACAAGCAATCGATCACGTCGGTGAACACTCGCACACTCAGACTCGAACCGGAGCACGGGGGCATAAAAGGAATCTAAAAGTATCGTGAAGTAAGTTAAAAACAATCTCCGTGTGGACTCGACATCATTGATTTTAATCAAACGACATTTGGATTCAACTAAATAATCTTCTGCTTAAATCAAGAACTCTTCTCCGGTTATTATGAGTGTATTGCCTTATATGGTGTCTTAAATAAATAACCGATAACTCCAGCGTACGTTTTCCAATACTCGTTTTTAAAACATTAATATTTTCTAATGCTGGACGTACGGAAAATAGAAAGTTGTGAACTGTAGTAATTTAATGCTTACACTGTATCTATTTTTGTTAAATAATAATAACAGTCTGGACATAATGCTTCATCGTCTTGAACCTTCCTGATTCTGCGACCTTCTCTGCCTCACTCGTTCCTCTTCCTCGCGGGATGGCTGGTCGGCGGCCCCACGGAGGTACATGTTCTGCTCCGTGTTGCAGGCGTTACACCACCGGCACATGCGGAGCTCTGCGCGTCACCACACCGACGTCGAGGTCACGGAGGCCGAAGGCTCGAGGACACCGGAGGACTCGGTGTGCTCGCAGGAGGGGCCGTCGGCCGTGTTCAACGACGGGCCCTCGACGTACTCCGAGTACGGCTACGGCACCCCCAGCGTGTCCTACAAGGGCTCGAGCTCTTACAAATAGGGGGACTTGTTTGTTATTGTTGGTTTCTCGTACGCAGCCCTGGTGCTTGTGTGTTTTTTCTCTGTCAATGCCTTGTCCACTGCCAAGGCGTACAGAGTTGTTCGCGGCCAGGGGGCGGAGCCCGCGGGCCCCCCACAGCCCCGGTCGCACACCCGTCTCCCTGACCGGCTCTAAAAAGATTTTCGATGAAATCCCATTATTTCGGATTTCGGATGGCGGAAAGTCTCTTGTTGTTCGATTTGTCTTATTGTTATTGTGCGGTCCCCACCCTGCCAGGCAGGATCGAGGAGCGTTTGTTCGCTTTCCATTGTCTCTGGAGTCCACTCCCTTACGCGCCCAAGTTAAGCACACACACCCATTAGGGCGTCAATGTGTCTGACAAAATTTGCCAACGCGATCGCATTGTGCTCTGCATGGGTGGGAGGCATTGAGTTGTGGTTACTGTGCCAGTAAGTCTCGCACTAAGTGAGCCAGCACTTTGAAGTCCCGTTTGATTGAGAAGTTGGAACCATTTGAAAGAGTTGTAGCTTCCCTGTTTAGGCGGATGCTAATATTTTTACCAGCACCACTCGAGAAGTGGCGTCGATTTTCAGTATTTGCCCTGTATATCATTGTACAGTGGGGGGACACCCCGAATAGATGAGTTATCTGTGATTTTAAAGCGTTTAAGCATTTGCAAAGTGACAAGTGATACTTCTTGTTTTTTAAATGCTTTCCCTGCAAGTCTTTAGATTTCCTGAGGACTATGGTCCCACAAAAATTTCTTTAATCATTTACGACCGTATGTCTCGCGAGTGCTCGTAAATTCCCCAAGGACACCCATTTTGGATACAGCCTACACCTACAAAATTGTTTTGATCTCTCGTGCCTAATACAATTGATGTGCTGACGACACGGTGGCTCGCACGGTGGCGTTTTCAATTCGCGGGTACCGAGCACTTGTGAATTGAAATTAATGACGCTCAACGACATATTATACGAGCAGTGAGCAGAACTTGCTTTACAGAAGACCTTTCTTTATTCAAGTAAACCACATGTTTCAGTGTTTTATTTCTCTTTTTTTTTGGTTTTAACGTTGACCAAAAGAATGCCCTATACTGTTTCAAATTTATTTTGTGTATTATCAGGTCCAAAAATTATTGTCTACGTTTTTTGCTCAAACTCCTAATTTTACAGGGTTGAATATGTAACAATACGATTTTCTCGTTAGTGAACGCGACACTGTGTATTTCCTCTCTCGCTCTTTGCTATGCCAAGACAAGTAAAATACGTAACGTTTCTTTAGTCGGAATGAAGTACCGTTGTTTACTTGAACCAAGGCCCCCGAACTTTAGAGACTTTCCAATTGGTGCCAATTATTTATGTTTTAGAAACCCGTTCAAATAATTTCTTCCCCGCTTTTGACCCCAACTATTTCAATAAAAAATATTGACCCATGGACGACTTCAAACCAAAATATTGGACTTAAAATGGAACACCTGCAACACTTCAGCCATTCGGCTAGCATCCCAGCTCACACAGAGGTTATATGAATTGTAATAATTTGTCACAAGCGTCAGAGTGATGCTCCCCTGTTCAGGTTTTCAGTTTTTAAATGGTTTCACTGAAGTCAAATTATGTGACATTTGGATCTTTACATACATGGCGTGCTGTTGCCCGCAAGCCTTACGTGCAGTGCTCCCCTACTTTCCGGCAGCTAGCGCCTGGCAAGCGGGGGATAGGCAAACCCGCCGTGCACTCGTGTACCGCGGGATAGCCTACGCGGCCAATGGCAGGCGCTAGGGTGGCCAAGCGCGCGGCGCAGCGCCGGTTCAGCTACTGCAGAGACCATACTTCCCTATGGTATCCCACACTCTGGCGCACGCCTCTATGGCGATCCTCATTTTCCGAATGTCTAATAACAAGGCGCTGCTCGTTGGAGAAGCTCCAAGCTGGACATGAGGGACAACATTCACAGCTGTGCAGCCTGCGGGGCATGAACGACAGCATTACCAACATGTCGAGTCCATTCTGTGCAGAGCCTTTCTGAAACTTTTCCAAAATTGGAGTAAAACTTTACATGATGATACATATCTATTATTCTCTGTACAATCTGGCTTAGTTCGAGAGTACTTAGATGATATTTCAATTCAATTACAGTTTTCTTTAGAACTTTTTCTTTGTGTCAGTGAAACACAATAATTTTTAAGTGTTCTCTTTAATCCTACTTGTGTGTTATACTGACAAATTGTGAAGTAGCCTTTACCTACTGGATTTTGCTAGAATTGCTGCTGTTAAAAACACACAATGCCATGTATCCCAGCTTCTGCCTTGATTGTGATGCTCACTTAGAAAAGCAATTATTAGTCTATTTCTTATTCCTCCTATCCCTGCTTTACAGCTAAATATTAAGTTAGTGGAAATAGTCCTGCTTTGTTTCAGTGTGTTTATGTGTATCATTTTGGTAACTTTGTGTAAATTTGACTTTATGTACTACGTAGCATATTGCCACGTGTCTGATGGAAAGAAAAGGACGCATATTCAAACAGCTTAGAATCACAATACCTAGTTAATCTGCCTTGTACAAAGTACCCTTTTATATTAGATTTGAATGGACAAAAAATGACTGATCCTACCATTAGGCAAGCAAATATAAAGCTTCAAAGTTTTAATGTAAGAATAGACAAGGATGGGGGTTTCTCCCAGTACATAGTTTTAGATTAGACCACAAGCCCAAGATGTCTTTCACGGCATAAATGCAATGTAATTATAACTACTTTGGTTAACATTTCAAAATCCCCATTTTATGAATGTGCAAACGTAGGCAGCTTCTATGCACATAAAATATTAATGAAACTAGATCTCCACTATTGGATGATAGTCATCAGTATTACCTTATCACAATAAACACAAGTCAAAAAGCAGCAAAACAGATAAAATAATAAAAATAAAATAACAATTTTGAGCAGCATTTTATTAATACTTGTCTTATCTACCCTTTTACATAGCTTTAATATGGCTGCATAAGTTTGTCATTTGCTGTTAATTACAGGCAGAACCTCCCATCAAAAATCCCTCCATAACTCAATGCAACCACAACTAAGGTTGTAACTTCTCTGGAATGTGCTACTGACACATGGTTTCTTGGAATAAAGCCGTCCCCTCTCAAGCTGAGAGCATTGCCATTCTGCGTGTAGTATGCAACATGCTGCTTACATCAATCATGAATTAGGGCTAAACACCTTGTTAGTACCCAGTAGATATTAAGTAGCTAGTACATTTAATTTTTAAAAATGGTGTTTTGGAAATCTTACGTGGTTTCCCACCTAGGTAGACTTTGACAAATAAATTACAAACTGTACATAATAAATATGCCTAAGAGGGACCAAAGAATCATGAAGCTAAGAAAATGTTGCATAAGGATTCTATGGCACTTTGCTAAACCAAAGTGTCACGACTTATATAAAATACGGTCGCTCTTGCCACAATCCTGTAAGTAGTTGCTTAAATGGGTGCCATTTTGACTTATCATATTATACAGGACATTGTTTCATTTTACTTATCATGTGCATAAATGGTTGCGAGCTCATAACATTATTTGTATGGTCATGTTACAAGAGAAAAAAAAAAACTGTTCATGAATACTTGGATTACTTATTCAGCAAGTCCCCACAAAAAATAAATAAATAAGAACAACTAAGGGACCTAAACATACAAACACTAAAACAAAATACTAATTCTACACTTTAGAGAAAAACAGAAAACACGATTTGCAAAATGAAGCCACAATGCATGGTATTCTGTAAAGCTTCATTTCTGCAGCTTTTATCAGGAATAATTACTTTGTCCTGAAACGTAAATTTGACCTTTTCGGCCATCTCGGCGGTACGAAATTCCTTGGTGAGGAAGTACATTTTTGACGTCCTTATGTTAATTTTGTAGTCTACAGAACTGTCAAGAGTTACAGCTTCTTTGAACACGATGTCCACTACTGAAGCAAATTGCACATCTAAAACTACAGTAGCAGTTGTGAGTAAATTATTTTCACTGTCTATAATCTCAATTTCATAAATTTCTTCATATGTTCGGTTTTGCTCCTGGTGGAAGGGCGGATACCATAGGGCAGGTACTTGTATACCCTGAAGTACAATTGGTTTGCTAACTTTAAGCAAAGTTGTAAATTGTTTAGCCCCTACATGATAATTCATGGCTGGGCCAGTGAGGGCATATGCTTCAGTAAAATAACTATTTTGCTGAACAGCAAACGAAAAGTTTTTTCTTCTTTTTAATCTGAAGGCCTTTGATGTCCCTCTTGAAATTGATAAGGGGCACACCCAATCAGGGAGATTTTGGCTCTTTGGAATCTAAACAAACAAATACCAAAAAGAATTTTAAAAAAAATTGTGTGTAAAAAAAAGAAAAGTTCCAACTGATTTTACTTTAAGTGGCTTCTTACAGTTAGCCAGCAAAGTATGGCAAACATTTCTTCTGTATTGAGGAATGACTTTCGAGATTCACAGTATGTGACAAAGTCTTGTGGTGTGATGGCCAGAAACCGTATTTTTGACATGATCTAGAGTGCATGAAAAAAAAGAAATAAAAATATTTGATATGATCAGATACATAGAAACACCTTGTGGTAAAATACTTCGGCATACCTCAGGGCCAACAATTTGTCGTTTGTTAAAAAGGTTTGGCTCAATGTCTAAATGGATGCATTGCTGCATTGCCCATTCATCCACGGCTTTCAGTACAGTGATTTCCTGTATATTTACTGTTTTCAGATCTAATACAAATAGAAGAAGTGTTCTTTTCACATCACTTAAGTAATTCCAGGAAGATGGATTTTCTGCAAGGGACTATTTATATGTGATTATTAAGAAAGACTACAAAGGAAGAATAATTCATGTGAGAACAAGTGGGTTAAAGTACTTACTGAACTACACCCAGCCTTCAGCTGCCTATCATCACACTCCACAGCTAAGTCGAAAGCAGTCCAAATATTATCTGGGCTTAGATTTTTTAACATGAAGTCTCTGGTTAACTTCAGTAGATGTGGAACATCATACTGAAGAGCAGCTTTATAAACCTCACAAGCTGCTTCCACAGAAGATAGCTTAAAAGAGTCTAAATACATGTACCTAAATTAAATAGAAAGATAGTACACAAAATATTAAAAAATAGGAAAGAACTAAAAAGTAACAGGAAAGGACAAAATTTTAAATATTTACTCACTGCAGTAAAACTTCAAAAACCTCCTGGGTTAAGTTCAGGTTCACATGATTACTATGCATTAGAATTGATTTAAGTTTCGAACTCGTCATTGATAGTATTACTTTGTGGCAAGCAAATGTCTGATAAAAGAAGAATGAATATTAGAGCCAATGTATTGAGCAAAGCTTCAACTCATACTGAATTATAGAATTAAAATGAGGACAAACAGGGATACAAACTTTTTGCTTTCCAACAACACCAGCAGTAACAGAGCAATCTGAAAACTCATTATTCTGAAACAAAAATCTGAGTCTATCACCGACTGATGAAGTAGACTGTTGCCATGGCGGACATCGATCATCAACAGACTCTACATTTCTTGAAACAATGACAGCACCCAATTGCGTCTGATGGTCAGTTAGCTCTCCTTCCTCTAAGTCATCACGCTGAGTTGTAGAGGCAACAACTGATGAAGTACTTCTTTCTTCAGCCTGATTTCCCAAAATAGTTCTGGGGTCAACAGCAGTCTTGTCATCAGTTAGAGTCTTAGGAGATGTCTCAGCCGGAGTCTCAATGAGAGTCACAACAGGGGTCTCAACGAGTGTCTTCATAGGTTTCTCCACGAGAGTCTTTGCAGGGTTCTCAACAAGAGTCTTTGCAGGGTTCTCAACAAGAGTCTTCACAGGGTTCTCAGCAAGAGTCTTCCCAGGGTTCTCAGCAAGAGTCTTCACAGGGCGGTTCTCAGCAAGTGTC